AACAAAGGTAAAGTAACAAAACTGGTAATTTGATAAGGTGAATCGTCTCTAACAATGAAGATCACAAGGAAGTAATGATGAAAGTAACAGAGAGAGAGAAAAAATATGTGGAAGGTGGGAGGAAAGAAGAAAAGTTTGATGGTGTTATGAAAATTGTGAAGAGGAGTTGAAGAAGACTGGGAGAGAGAGAGAGAGAGAGAGAGTGAGAGAGTGAGAGAGAGAGGGAGAGAGAGAGGGAGAGAGTAAGAGAGAGAGAGAGAGAATGAGAAAGAGAGGAGAGAGAGGGAGAGAGTGAGAGAGTGAGAGAGAGAGGGAGAGAGAGAGGGAGAGAGTAAGAGAGAGAGGAAAAGAGATTAAACTTTTCAACAAGAGGAAAGGTAGAATGTAAAGAGCGGTGAAAACAAAAGACAAGAAGAGAAACAAAAAGAACGATTATAAACAAGAGAAGACAATTCATTAATAACATAAACTTAAATTATTAATCATGAATAATAGTTTAAAGAAATTAAGAGACTCCTTATAAATACACAATACAACTCTTCAACAACAACAACGTAAGACTTCTCATGACCTGTGTTTATCTCAGTCGATGTTTGTATTTCTCTATTCAGTCATGACCATCAAAGTATTGGATCAGAAGCCCAGTGAGTCCTGAGACAGCTGAGACGAGAGATGACATCGAGGAACATAAACACAAGTTTGAGTGTAAACTAACTGGAGTATTGACTTGGATTATGCAGTTCAGTTTTCGTCACTGTACTACAGAATGGATATCGAATCCATAGAAAGCGTACAGAGAAAGGTGACAAGACTAATCCCGGGCATTAGGAACCTTGAGTACAGAGACAGGTTAAAACACCTGAATTTGCACTCCCTCGAGAGACGTAGATTGAGAGGCGATATGATAGAGGTGTATAAATGGAAGTCAGGGTTAAACAGAGGTGTTATAACAGATACTCAAACTATCCATTTATCCAACAAGCGAACTCGTAGCAATGGTCTAAATTACACAAATTTTTATTTAGGCGCGAGATAGGTAAACCTTGGTTTGGAAATATAGTGGATGAGTGGAACAAATTACCAAACATTATTAACTCGAACACGCTGGATAGCTTTTAATATAGGTTGGATGGATGCATGAGCGATAGGGGTTGGGTGTAAACAGGACTGCCCAGTATGGGCCAATAGGCCCGCTGCAGTTTCCTCCATTCTTATGTTCTTATGTTATTATGAATGTGTAGAGTTTCGTATCTTCACATCATTTAAACACACTCTAAGGAGTATGTTTACGGGGGGAAGAATCTGATGACTTTCAATATGCATTCATTCCCTTACGTCAGACACTGCGACCTCACCAGGGTGTTAATTTTCTCCCATCCTCATTAATAAATCAGAACACAAATGTCCATCCGTGTGAACAAACGACCTAATATGAATAATTAGTAGGACACCTGACTGGCAGACACTATCACCTGTCGGCTTCACCTCAATAGATAATTTAAATACAGATGAATATATGTCATTATTGACCTACAGAAGATTCTTTGTTTTTGTTTTTTAAATTATATCCAGTTTTCTTTATTTTTTATCTCACAGCATGAAGACTCTCTCTCTCTCTCTCTCTCTCTCTCTCTCTCTCTCTCTCTCTCTCTCTCTCTCATAATGTCAATGTTTGGGTCAACTTACTGCACTGTTGTCAGCAGACTTGTGTAAATAACAAATACTGCACCGTATCTCTCTTGTATTCAATGAGGAATACTCCAAACACAACATAGCAAAGAAGTGAATAAATTTCTCTGTGGTGAGAGATCGGGTGTTGTGATGGATTCTGTAAGCGGTACAGTAATATTCCCCTGAAATACAGTGACGAGCTTAAAATTCTAAAATCATATTTACTGTAGGAGAGTGAGATGTGACTGACCAAGGACAGGTTCATCATGTGGAATTTGGTGACCTGATGGAAAGACAGTCGCTGGCCGATGATTAATTCCAATATCAACTTCTTCAGCAGTTATGAAAATTCCTTAAAAAATAGTTACATTTTTCTTTAAATGTTCATGTGTCGTGTATAAGATAAATATATAATGTGAATAATATTTTAGGTATAGATTGATGGTTTAATCATTTACTTAAGTTGGTAAATACATTGCAAGTTATATTGCACTGACATTCACATATTTATATATTTATTGGATATAGTTTCAGCTTGTCACATCTAAATTATTGATATAATAAGCTACGGTGTTGCCTAATCCAATTTCCCATCAGAAGCTGTCAACATCACCTATGTCCAATTTGTTTTGTTATATGTATGTTGGCAAGTAAAGCACTTTAAGCACATATTCCACCCACTGTAGCTCCACACACTGTAGCTCCACACACTGTCTGCCACCCATATTGTAGGTCCGCACACTATCTGCCACCCACTCTAGCCCCACACACTGTCTGCCACCCACTGTACCTCCATACACTGTCTGCCACCCACTGTAGCTCCACCCACTGTAGCCCCACACACTGTCTGCCACCCACTAGTCATCACGTAACACTGTCGAGTAAGTTATGTATAAATGTGTCACAATATAAAAGGGATTAAACAAAACCGAGACAGATTGTTAAGAGACAAACATTATAATGAAAGAAAAGGGAAGTGAGAGAGAGAGAAAGATGAGAAAGAAAACTGGAGGTGGAGTGAGAGAGAGAGACAGTGTTGGTGATGGTGTAGTGAGCAGCAACACGTCCTGGAGTTAACCCACCAACACGACACAAAAGCATCAATAATAGTGACACGACAGTACTAATCAAATAGTAACACGACAGTACTAATCAACACCTTCCTCCATCGCCTCTAGAATTATGCAAAAGTTACACAAATGTTCCTGATATGACAAAGTCCAATAGTGTGTTATTTCCCATGCAAAAAAAAAATAAATAAAATAAATATATATAAAATTATATCAATAAAGAAATAACTAATATAGTTTTTGATGCTGAATAATATCTACGCCAAAAGCTTTAGGAAATTATATATCCAAGAAAAAGGAATTTCCGACACAAAGTATGCATGGTGCGTGTTGTGTGACAGACGAACGAACTGACCGAAGAAATCCTACAACTCAGCATTCCTTACACCCGATAGTCATTGACAGAGTAAAATGATTTGAATAATTTCTAAGTTTCAACCCATTAAATAATTATCAATAATCTGTTTTAACGTAAATTATATGTATATGTTGTCAACGATTAATGCGTCGTTAACTCTGCCAGTCGACTCATTTTATGGGCCATTTGCTCGCCAGGATCAGAACTCAATAACTGGAGTCTAGTTCATCGAATTAGCTCGTGTTGGCGGTAGACTATTGTGTTTCAGGTGTGGGCCTTTGTTTACTGTTGTGTTTCAGGTGTGGGCCTTTGTTTACTGTTGTGTTTCAGGTGTGGGCCTTTGTGTGTGATAATCAGTAGTGTAATGACTTGCGATGGAAGTATTTGTTGCTTTTATTATTGCTATGGTTGTTGTTGTGCACCTTTTAGTACTAATTACCTGTCATAGGGTGTAAGTTCAGGACACTTGAAGCCGTGTTGGAACTAACGGTAAGAGCGAATTTCATTTAAGGGAGGCAATAATACTAATACTCAAAAACTGTTCAAATATCAATACACATTATGGACAGTGTTACGTATTCTTCACTATATAATTATACAGCATACACAACCAAATTGTCTAGAGAACAGATGGATTGATAACTTTTGTGTATTTTCAAAGAACTGAGAACCTAGGTGTAGACGAATTAGGGATTTGGCTGGACGACTAATCAAATTCGCCAATAACAAGAGTAATTCAAACACTCGGTACAAGTTTCACACCTGTTCTACATTGGCACTTAAAATATATTACATTCCTAAAATTTAGATTAATGAATGAATCAATATTTTAAGTCGTCCTTACCTTTACTACGGAGCTCGGAGGTCAAATTCGCCTCCTGTCCTGGGGGTCTGCGGTTCGATTCCCGGGGGTTCCCAGGTCAACCAGCTGTAAATGGGTATCTAAGTTTACAGCTTAGAGAAGTGATTGCGATCGAGTGCAGTACCAGCCATGCTGCCTCCTTGTGTACCGAAGGCCTAGTAAACAGTGTGCTGTATCCACACTGTCCCTAACAGACGGTCATGCCTACGGGACCCACTTTCACCATTACTGCCACAACACTGCTGTCAACACAACCAGGTGAAGTAAGACGACAGGAGTGAAACAGATGTTAATACATAAGTTACTTAAAAGCTATCTAGACACTATTTACCTCCAAACAAGGGCTTACATTTGTAGCCCTGATATTCAAAACGGTCATAATTGTTGTTAGAAACTCGTGTCTCCTCCATCGCTGTGACGATGCCACGTGTACGGAATGGCCACGAATGGGTTGGACATTTCTCATTTGTTGGTGTATTTTGGGCAAGGAGTGATGGCGTGACCACGTTAACCCAACCTTAGCATCCTGTCTTAGGCTGACTTTAGACAAGTTCAAGGTGTACGGTTGGGGCAAATAAGACGGTAATATAATTTTGCTTGTACTGTACACAAAACAATCTAACCTGTCCGATGTAAAAAAAAAATGCTTCTATAACATTGTAATACAAAGTAAAACAAGGAATATACTGCTCAACAAACTTTATTTTTAGTCTAAAATAATTCGCCAGATGTAGACAAACAGATTAAGAATTACAGGAACTGTAGATTAGAGTTGTTGGAACAATTGACGATATCTTCGTTACAGAACACTAAATATTGATGAACCATCGTCGTATTATTTATTCGTTACACAAATTCTCAAACATTGTCTATGAAACAATTATAATAAAAGCACAGAAAAAACATCCTACACGAGTAGTTATTTCTTTGATAAAAACATTCTACCGCTGTTACCCTCAAGAAGTGTCACCCATTAAGGACGACCTATTGATTATTTACAGGTTGTGGATCCTTGAATTTCTTATTGTTTATATTTCCATAGTCACATCAATCCAGAGCCTGTAGTGACTGACGGAGGTGTAAATCCCAGGCACATCCAGTCCACCACATACAGGTAAGCCATAAGACAGAACACCAATTTGGAAGAAAGGGGTCCCCGCCGCTAGCAGGGCGCTGCCTCCTTCACCCACTAAGGAGCCTTTGCTTTATCACAACCTCCTGCACAGATCTGTAAACAAAGGAAATTTCATGAAGTAGATTCTGGTCATTTAAATAACATGAAATCATTATTGATCATGTTCCCTATTAACTAAAGTGATAAATACTATTATCTACTGTACCTGCTCTTTAAGAAGATTTCCACGGTAGGTTTCGTTGAGACTGTGCGTGATCAACAATGGATAGCTCAACATGTTGGGGCCCTCACTAGCTTTCCCTGAGTTAGATAGGCCCCAACCAGCCGAAAAAATGTCCTGCACAGTAGATAAGTCCTGGAATCCTGTACTTTGAGGAGGCAGACAAACGCGAAGTAATCCAAGCTGCAAATAAAAGGTGTGTAATTGTTGTAACTTGGAGTTTTGGATTATAATTTGTTGCTTATACAAAACCAAGTTATGTAAGGAGACTATTTTAACCAGCTTGTAAGGAGAATACTAATAAAAAATATGTGAAAAATAATCAAAATATTATATTCCCAGGAGTAAAGGAGGTTACTTGGGAAATTATCATCTAAAATATTGTAAATCTTGTTCTTTTCTGGGTAATAATATATATATATATATATATATATATATATATATATATATATATATATATATATATATATATATATATATATATATATATATATATATATATATATATATATATATAACAAAGAAGTACATCTGTGTGTTGTGTTTGTGTGTGTGTCCGCACGAGAATCTCGGAAACTACTTTACAGATCTGTAGTGATGATGGTGTTATATGTAGTGATGCGTATATGTAGTGATGATGGGATGGTGTTATATGTAGTGATGATGGGTGGTGTTATATGTAGTGATGATGGGTGGTGTTATATGTAGTGATGATGGTGTTATATGTATGATGAGTATATAGTGATGATGGGTGGTGTTATATGTAGTGATGATGGATGGTGTTATATGTAGTGATGATGGATGGTGTTATATGTAGTGATGATGGGTGTGTTATATGTAGTGATGATGGTGGTGTTATATGTAGTGATGATGGATGGTGTTATATGTAGTGATGATGGTGGTGTTATATGTAGTGATGATGGATGGTGTTATAGTGACGATGGGTTGTGTTATATGTAGTGATGATGGGTAGTGTTATATGTAGTGATGATGGATGGTGTTATATGTAGTGAGGATGGATAGTGTGATATGTAGTGATGATGGATGGTGTTATATGTAGTGATGATGGATAGTGTTATATGTAGTGATGATGGATGGTGTTATATGTAGTGTTAATGGATGATGTTATATGTAGTGATGATGGATGGTGTTATATGTAGTGATGATGGGTAGTGTTATATGTAGTGATGATGGATGGTGTTATATGTAGTGAGGATGGATGGTGTTATATGTAGTGATGATGGATGGTGTTATATGTAGTGATGATGGGTGGTGTTATATGTAGTGATGATGGTGTGATGTGTTATATGTTAGTGATGATGGGTGGTGTTATATGTAGTGATGATGGGTGGTGTTATATGTAGTGATGATGATGGTGATGATATATGTAGTGATGATGGGTGTTATATGTAGTGATGATGGGTGGTGTTATATGTAGTGATGATGGATGGTGTTATATGTAGTGATGATGGTGTTTATATGTAGTGATGATGGGTGGTGTTATATGTAGTGATGATGGTGGTTATATGTAGTGATGATGGGTGGTGTTATATGTAGTGATGATGGTGGTGTTATATGTAGTGATGATGGGTGGTGTTATATGTAGTGATGATGGGTGGTGTTATATGTAGTGATGATGGATGGTGTTATATGTAGTGATGATGGATGGTGTTATATGTAGTGATGATGGGTGGTGTTATATGTAGTGATGATGGGTGGTGTTATATGTAGTGATGATTAGACAATAAAATAATAACAGTTTAATGCTAAAAAAATAGACTTTGCTGTACCGTTGTAGAGAAAAACATGGTGGAACTTACATACACCGTTAATGAACTATTGATGGAAGAAGAAGTTTTGGGGACTGAACAGTGAGACGATGTGGAGCTTCCAGGAGGGTGACGTTCTACCGTGGCTTAGAGAATGAGCCGCGTTTCTGCTAGTGTTACATAAAGTTTTAAGGGAACAAAATTATTGTTCGATGTTAAGCAATCATGACATTTATTTTTATACTGGTGGATTAGATTGGCTGTAGAATAAAAATTTTAAACAATTTACAATATGGCTCCAAAGCCACTTCACTTACGTCCATTAAGGTCTATGGAGCTGACGAGTCTGATAAGGGCGATGTCATCAGAAATTTGTCCTCTTTTGTTATAGTTCGGGTGAGGAATAGCCTCTTCTATGGTAAAGTCCTGAGCAGGAGGTGAGCAAATAGTATTTCCTACTATGTTTATCATACAGTCGGGTTCGGTACTCCTGTCCCATTCTCCCACCCGGACAACTTCACTACAATAGAAGACATATACCTTGATGACTGGATAGGTTAAGATTTTACTCGACTTCGCTGAAAATAAGTGTTAGCGTATATCTAACATTGCACAGTCACGGGAAAAAAGTCTTACCCTGAGTCTTATGAGCCTGTGAATCCGATAATGTGAGATGTCTCAGATTCACAGGTTCATGAGTCTCAGGGTTCATGGGTGAGAGAGAGAACTGGCAGGACTCTTTTCCGTGACTGTACTTGATAGTTATGTGAACGGAGCTTCATCTGAGCACATTCACTTAAATAAAAAAAATCGTGCCTTATTGATGTCATTTGTTATAAGTGTAAAAGTAAATCCACTTATATAATAGTAACGTTTTATAATTGAGTACTTACAGCTTACTCCCTCCTGTTGAAGACGCATCCACGCAGTGAGCGGAAGTTAATATGTATCTTTCACTGATCACTGACCCACCACACAGGAACGATATTCTCGAGGAGCCAGTTTCTGTAAGTTACAAAAGATTAAAGTAAAAATGCATCACTTATATCCAGCGTTCTTAAACCTTACTCAGTTTCATTTTTCAAGTCATTTTATTTTTTGTCAGGAATGTTGGTGCAGATTTTAGTGGAGATAGTCAATTAGTAAAGATAGTCTACTAACCTCTTGTGTACGAGGTCATCTCTGAGCTGAATAAAATTGTATGGCGTTTTATACTAACCATCCAAACTATACATGTATGTGTAATGTTATGTTTGTTTCACAAGTACTGGGTCAAAGGCCATGATAAAATAACACTTTATCTCGACTTTTTCTTTCAAATCCCCCCAAAAATCGCTGTTAAATTATCCTTATAGTAAGTGAGCCCTCTGGTGCGTGTGTGTGAGATCTGTAGTGTGTATGTGAGCCCTGTAGTGTATGTGTGAACCCTGTAGTGTGTGTGTGTGAACCCTGTAATATGTGTGGGCCCTCTGGTGCGTGTGTGAGCCCTCTGGTGCGTGTGTCAACCCTGTAGTATGTGTGTGAGCTCTCTGGTGCGTGTTTGAGCCCTCTGATGCGTGTGTCAACCCTGTAGTATGTGTGTGAGCTCTCTGGTGCGTGTTTGAGCCCTCTGGTGCGTATGTGAACCCAGTAGTATGTGTGTGAACCCTGTAGTGTGCGTGTGTGTGAACCCTGTAGTGTGTGTGAGTCTGTAGCGAGTGAATCCTGTATAAATAACACTTAATATGATGAATTAATATAATAAAACTACAGTAACAAACTACTATTATGTATCTTAATTGCCAAAAGATAATTTCAATTGGCTAGCAAGTGTACAGTACGTAAGACTATTCACGTTAATATAAAACTTTTATGTTTATAGTTGGAAAGAGTTAATGTATTGCCATAAAAGATACTTGACTCCATATAATTATATACATACTTCACTGTTCACATGTTCACATACGTTGTGTTCAAATTATGGAGCAGTAGCCATACCTTCCTTTATTGAAATATTTAAGAGATCACAAGTTGTTAAAAAATGCTTCAATAATTTAAATCATAATAAATCTTTAATTATGTACTTAAAGATTATACTAAATGTGGAAGACTTTACATAGCCAGTCACTCACGTCTGTATCCTAACAATGCCTTCCAAGTGTAACCGGCGATGGGCAATTCCCTTCCTCCTCCACGATGATGTTCAGAAAGGCCGCAGGTCTTGGGGAACTTGATGGCATTTCGGGGACAACAAACCTGACAAGAGACTCACATTTACTGTAAATTGACGAGAAGATACATTTATGTATTGTAGATATCGTGCACGGTAGTAATGTCAATTGTAGGTAGAGCACAGTACTTACTATAGGTTGGCTGTTCTTGTAGGCGCAGGTGCTCCGCTGCAGAGTGTCAGTGTTTTCCGGGGAGGGATGGAGCAGTAGCCAGTGCAGCTGTGGGCACTGACGCACTGGTATACAGTCATGTTGGCAGGTAGCGCCTGTTGGCAGAGGTGTGGCCTTAATGTTCAGTTATTAACTTTTAATTAAGTAACAATTTTGGTCTTGTGTCAGCAAAGACAAATGTTAAAGAAAACAAGGATACCAAAAACTAATTTATATGTAGAGAGAACAATAAAATTTTGTTGTTATAAATTCATCATTAAAGAGTTCAACCATTCACGAGGGAGGTTCAACGCCACAGTATAGGTGCCTGCAGGAGTGATGAACAAGACAGGAGTTTACAACAACAATTACGACCGGAGTTTATCCATACCAAGGGTACTAAAAGTAAATTCATGTATAAAAGTAAAGAACGTCTTAGATATGAAGTCTTAGTGAAATGAATGCTAAGTATAATGTTTTAAGTGTTTAAGTAACTGTGTATGAATCTATTAACTCCTCATACACCAACTTGGTCACCAGACACCTGGAGACCAAACCAGAAATTAATCGTCAGGTACAAGGTGTTAACGACGATATATAGTGTTGCTTACCAGTGAAGTGAAGCGGCGTGTTATAGCGAAACATTATGTGTATAGCACCATCACAATGTGTTCAGTCTTTCCTATAGACTTTACCTCCGCATATCAACATTGTAAGTAATTCCTTAAAGACAACCCAATGCTGACCCCCAACTCCCTCACACACAGAGGAGAGATTAACAGACTGCCATTACGAAAGTATGTTGTAATTGTGGTATATTGTTAAGGTAATGCGAAGTAATTGCATAAGTAGCTGTTAACCACAAAAATTGTGACCACGTCCCATGTTGCTGATCTGACTTCTGCCTCATTTACACACAACTGGAGGGTCTCAATTATTTCTCTTATTTTCACAGCACAATGTACAGTAGCTTACATATGTCACTTCCCACTCCTGATTTTTTTCTTTTTTTTTACAGCTCATTATTTTTGTTATTATTATTTTCATTATTATAATTATTCATTTATTTGTATGAGTTATTGTTATTATTATTATTATTATCACTATTATTTTCTTATATTTTCGCCCCCCTTGGCCTTATTGTGGGTTATTATAAAATGCCCTGTGCCTGGGTGGGCTAATGACTGGGGAAAAAAAGTACGTAAGGCAATATTGTCCAGTTACTTAAGGTAATGCTAAACAGTTATTCCAGGTTAGTCATTTAAAGATAAAGTTACTTAGTTGTTACTTACTCTTTGTGTGAGCCAACTGGAACAGCAACAGCAGCAGCACTAAGGCTCCAACACCTCTCTCCACACTCACCATACTGTGTTAATGAAAGACACATTATTTTCACTAAATAAACAACAACAGTCATGAGCCATGTACTAGTCGATAATCCTTGACAACTTGTACAGGTTTCTTACAGGTGTCTTGGTATAATCAACAGTTATGCCTCATAAACTAAGTCTATACGTTATATAATTCCGCCAAGTGTTCAGACTTAAAGAGAATGGCTAAGAAGTGGTTAATACATTCTATAAAATACAATTTGGAGGAAAACATGATCCAAGACAGCCATTATGATCAACAAATTCAGATAAATCTTTCATCTTTATTAACAAACTTTATTTATATACACTATTTCACTGGTTGTAAACGGAGTGTGTGGTAAGAGACGAATCAGCTTGTTCAGTTCAAGGTTATCTCAGTGTCCGGGGACTCCCAATGACATAACCGGCCACGACGGGTTTTCCAGATCACCTTAAGATAGATCTGTTGTTTACCAAGTCCGTGATATCGCCACATTACCCAGAAATACGAAATCTTTAAAGTACAAATATTATTTTTAGGAGAGTCTGAAACATCAACAGAAAAAAAGTTATGGAAATTGTAAATATTTTAATCATCACGCATATAAAGATGTTAATGATGACAATGGTAAACACGCATCATAAAGCTCCCAGCTGCCAGCGTGACTGAGTTACGATATTCGCTTTCAGTGATAAGAAAATAAATATTGAATAATATCTACTTTTAGGGCGTATGAACTATCGAGCGATATATACTGTATACTCACAGTATTTGATGATTCTTCATTGTTAACATCAGACATATTTCAGTGCGGAAAGAGTAGAGGCCATGACCGACGTACCTCATGTGTTCTATTACTGACGAGTAGTTAGGCAGTCATCAGTTCAGGTGGCGGGGATTTCCGAGGCGCGGCAGGTCGGCCACAGAGAGGTGGTCACTATACCGGTGTTCTTGCTCCGCTTGTGTGTGGGAGCGAGGGCCACTACCTCATCACCAGCCACCTACTCGTTGCATCTATAGACCCTGATGCTACGTCACCATCTACAGCAAGGTGTAGTCCTGTACAGTCCCCCCCCGTGACCTCTTGTCAGAACTGAGAATGCATCATCTCGACCAAGGATGACTTACTTCCCTTCCGAATTTGAACGAAACAAATCTAAATATAACTTTCAGAGAAGTACTGTTGAAGTATTTAGTGAATTTACCGACACATGAAGGACACTAATGTCAGTTCTAGGTCCGACTATCTGCCCCCACATGCCAAAGTTATCAGTGAAATTAGGAACCCAAAGAAAAATACAAAAGTAGTGACTATTACTTAATTAATAAAGGAAGTTATCTATCGTAAACCCCGTCAGCCGTTCCCTCCACCTCCCTACTGTAGGGCGGGTGTTCCTCCTCTTCGCCTATGGAAGAGTATTATCATCATTTATCAGCCTCCTTCCTCACCAAGACGGATCTTCCACCCTTTATCACGACTTTAATCTTCGCACTAATAACTGAAGGATTTATTGCCGAGTGCCTAAAAGAATATAATTTACCCATCAAGACCACGAAACTGTTTGACAACAAATAATATTCCCGTATTTCTCACCACCTACTGGCTCTCTTTCATTCACAATTAATACAAAACCAGCCAGTCAGCCAGTCAGTCACTGCACTCATCACCTGTGTGGTTTCCTCAGATAACCCCAAGAGATGGTCTGCCGTCTGACGCATAATCTGCCATGCCTCACAAGAGACAAGGCGCAGGGACCATCCTTCTTAACTCACTCAGAGTTCTTTGTGCCAGTAACAAACATTTTTTACAATAATTTCAAGTTAATCATCTTCGATAAAATCTCTTCCAGTTAATAAACACTTTGAATGAGTCACACCACAGGATTAAACAATTTAAATATTATAAATGTTAACCAATAGAAAGTCCAGGAAAAAATACGTGTACAGAATCCCTTAACTAATTTGTGATAATGTATTAGCTAAACACCATGATAATTAGAAAAACATATGTGAGCTATTGCAGTATTGTCTAGTAATATAACCGAGATATGATCACTACTGGAAACAGACACCAAACAATGAAACTAGTGAACATAAACTAAAAAATATGAAAAAAAAGGGAATTAAACGTAATATGAGATGAGTTATGATGGACGCGGTATATTGTTTGTGTATATAAATAACATCATCACCACCACTGTTCACTGCTTCAGGATGTTCACATTGACAAACAACTCTGGCTAAAGATACTTACTCGACGGCTGTTTGGTTACTTCTCTATTGCGCAGTGCTGGTAGGACGTGGGTCGGCGCAGTCGTCACCTTCCTTCCAGAGCTGTTGGGTGCTCACTGAGAGACGACACGGGTTGCTGGTGTTTTTATACGAGGTCACAGGGTACAGCCCCACGCACTAGCCAGGTGTGACGGGGCTGGTAGTCTAAGAAGGCATGTCAGTCGGAACTTGTTTAGTCAGATGTAACTGTAGGTAAGGCAGATGTGTGGAGGAGTCAGTAACGTGAGTCAGACACGTGTGGTGGCGTCAGGCGTGGAGTCAGGTGTGTGGGGTGAAGTCAGGCATGTGGTGGAAGAGACATGGAGGTACGCAGGGAATCCCTTCATGAGGAGGGTGGAGGAGCGGGGAATCCTATGCTGGACTTAACCTGGGAATTTTAAGGAAACTGGTTTTTCTACGTCATCCTGTGGCAAGCTGGGCAAGCAAGCCGATACTTTTAAGTGCCCCAAGACAGCACAATCCCTGAGGCACTACTGGAACAGGTGTGTGGTGGAGGGGCGAGTTAGGTGTGTGGTGAGTTAAGTGTGTGGTGGAGGGGTGAGGCAGGTGTGTGGTGAGTTAGGTATGTGATGAGTTAGGTGTGTGGTGAAGGGGTGAGGCAGGTGTGTGGTGGAGGCATGAGGCAGGTGTGTGGTGGTGGTTTAAAGCAGGTGTATGGGGGAGGCATAAAGCAGGTGTGTGGTGAAGGCATGAAACAGGTGTGTGGTGGAGGCATGAAACAGGTGTGTGGTGGAGGCATGAAGCAGGTGTGGGGTGAAGGCATGAAACAGGTGTGGGGTGAAGGCATGAAGCAGGTGTGTGGTGGAGGCATGAAGCAGGTGTGTGGTGGTGGAGGCACGAGTCAGGTGTACAAATATCAGCTGCTCGACACCACAACCGCATCCAGACCAAACGACCAAGAACTGAACATAAGAACAACCTTATTCCAACCATTGTAAAAATTATCAATGACTCGCAGATAACTTGGATGTTCACTCCTTGCCAAGCTCACATTTGTTCTGTGCTGAAATTGATCGTTAAATGACCCTACCCTATGTAACTATTTGTTCATATACCATTAATTATTATTATTACTGTTATCATGATTATTACAACACACACACACACAGGGTACGAGTCAGAAGTGTGATCTTGGTCCCTATAAACGCGCTGCAATAACTGTACCGAAGTTATAAAAGAGGCATAAACTATGGCTACTGGTTCCTGGTCTCTCGTGTTTTACGGTGGGAAAAATCACACCTAAGAGCTGATAAGGTCGAAGTTATCACACTGTATAATATTAGCGTTGTTTTCGATTAAATACCAAACAAATTTATGATAGTTGGTGATAGTGGAAGTTTCGGAAGGAGTAACTTGTAATGATGGTGGTCCAGGTGGTGGTGGAGATGGTGAGGATAGTGGTGAAGGTGGTGGTGGTGGTGGTGGTGGTAATGGTGGTGGTAAGGTTGAGAGTAATGGTGTTAGTGATAGTCTCACACTCGCAAGAAAGACCTTCGAACAAGTGGTGAAAAAGGTGACAAGACTTACTGTCCCTTCAGGTGAAAATATCTGTTAACGAGTAGAAGAAAGTTTGTTCCCTCACAGCCTGATGGGGGAGCTCTTATCCTTGGTTTGGCTCAAAAGTCTTTACCTCTACTGTACTTACCTGGAGTCCTACACCCCACAACGATACCAAGTCGACCCTCATATACAAGGTGGCAGTGTCTCCCGTAATTCAATATCAAAGTTTTTCACGGAAGGTACAACTAATTCAGGTAAGTTTAGCTTGGAGTGTACTGAACTACCGAGGAGAAAGCTTCCGATATACCTCAAAGTGTCATCGAGCTGCCTGTAAATATCATTCTTTCTAGGTCTCCGTTTACTATACCATTAGAATTTTCGATAAAACCTGTTCATAAAATAAGGTATACACATGTAAACTGTTGTCTCTATTCAAAGTCTACCAATCTCATAAAAAAAAAACATTAAAATTAAAAATATCGTCGAAAACCTTTCAAGTAAAGTCACCACTAGAGTCCTTACTGATGTAGAATGTCTACTTAATTCCACATTCTTGGTTTAATTATTCAAAAACCTATGAAGCCTCGACGTGTTACTTAGTGAAATACATTTCCTAAACAGCACAGAACCATGTCAACATACCAGAGCTTAAGGCTTTTATATACTATTAGCAACAAGTACGAGCCAGACCCATCGTGTAGGGATAGAGAAGTGTTATGAGAGAATTGGAAAACCCATAAAATTATCAAATGAGGTTCAACTCCTTCATTACGAGGATGCCACTTAGTATTTCATTTGGTTAACGTCGGACGATTTTATTGAGCTCAAGAGGGGATCCCGTGCACAAGGGGTTATATAGACTATCTCCACTATTGGCTGTGTTGACCCGAGAGTTGCTGATCATAGTCAACTGAACCCAAGATGAGACTGGAAACAGATAGGTGGTATTTAATAAGTTTCTACCCAAGTAACATCAAATGACTTTATTCTTATCACAACATTATATGAAGATGATCAACGAACATGTAGCTGAAATAACTGGGACAGGAATGTAATCAAACAGTTGACTTAAAAATAGATACGTGATGAAGCCATAGCAAGAGAAGAGATTTTATCTATGTAACAAACCACAGAATGTTGAAGTGCTCTGTCAGCCTCGGATAGTCCAAGCATTTTTCTATGTATCAACTTTTTTCTTCACGTAGGTATATTATTATTTATTAGTAATTAAAACTAAGCAAAGAATGCTATTGAAAGTAAACACCTGTATTGTTTATTTCATACCAAACCAATTGTCATCTTTTACGATGATTATACCGATTCAATTAATCAATCTATCTATCTACCTCAGGTTTCACAAATATTTTTTTTTTTTCTTAATAAAATCTTCCCTTTTACCGAATACATATAAAGTACAATATATGTATTACCTTAAAAATATCGATGATAATCACCCGAGTATCCATGGTACATCTCCGTGACATCGGTTTTTGCCTTTCTTGGCACAGTACAGTACTGTGGGGCTAATAGTTGCTTCCTCCTAGTATTGTGGCAGTGGTATTTGGCTTTCTTAGTACCGTAGCACTGGTACTTGGCTCTCCTAGTATCGTGGCACTGGTACTTGTCTCTCCTAGTACCGTGGCACTGGTACTTGGCTCTCCTAGTATCGTGGCACTAGTACTTGCGGCGCCATGGGCAGTATTGCTGGGCTTGGCTGCTCCCCGAGTGTCGAATCTCTGTGTTAGTCGAGAGAGCGACAACTGCCACACCCGAGACCGGGACTTACGTCTATTATATGCCTCAAGATACTGCACGATGCGGGAGAAGGTACTTGGGGTCTCCACGACGAGCAGTGGGTTGTTCTGTGGCGGCTTTTGTGGTCGTGGCCTCAGGAAGTAGCGCCCTTCTCCGCTCCCTTCACCTAACATATCCTGAAAAGAACCACATTTACGTAAATGGTATTTAGAGACATGCTTAAGAAATTGAGCGAAATCAGTTTTCATTAAACACCTAGAAAATAATTAGTCAAAGGTCTGCAGTATGGCTTATGACCTTACAGTAGCTTCCATTCTATCAGGTCGCAGTGTGTTTTCTGCGTATTTTCTCTTATCACGGTCACTCGTGGAGTCACTGGGTCTCTTGACTGGTTGAAATCTTATCCAAGCAATGATAAACAAATAGTAGTTGCAAATAACACCGAGTCAACATCTATGCCAATAACCCGTGGAATCCCACAAGGGAGTATTCTATGACCTTTGCTCTTCCTGTATTATGTAAACGACATGTCCATTTGTGTTATTTTTAAATTTTGGTTGTATGCCGATGACAATGATTATTTAATGTCGGGTATAGATCCAAATTACGTACTGTAACAGAGGGGAGGGGACGCAAAGAAACATTTAAAATTCTTGATTTAAGAACATTGAAAATTTCGTAATTTCAGAGAAAAATTATGCCTAAACTAGAAGCAAGATATTGATAAAGCGTAAGTACAATAAATATTATAGGTTAGTCAGAACTGAGGTGAGAGACAGACCGTAGAGGAGCAGGAGAGAGGGTAGGAATACTCGTCAGAATCAGAGTAGTCGTCAGGATCATAGGTGTCGTCCGAGGAGTCGCTCACTTCAAACATCTCCGACAGATACGCCATGGGGCCGCTGCTCGTGTCCAGTATACCTGCAGAAGGGATCGTCAGCACTATCCCTTTACTCGTAGTTTCCCCAGAGGAGTCAAGAAGCACCATCATACAATATTACAGAATAAAGTTTTATCTTTCGCTCACCGTAGTAGTAGTAGTTCATTAGAATATGATAGAGGTGATTGAGGACACCTGGTGATCAAGCCAATCTTAGACGGGAACTTAAGGGTACCGAGGCTAGTATACCACCTTGGTTTAATATTGACGTCCAGGGCAACTTTTAAGGTTGGTCTAGTTTACAATAATTTGCGGTTTGATAAGAGGGTCAAGCAAGCAGGTAAGGACAAACTACTCACCAGGTGTGACGAGTTTCTTTATCTCAGTGGTGGTAAACGTCAGCTCCTCCAACCTAGCCGCTGTTGCCGCTACTGGATCCCTGCAGCACAAACACCAACGTCAGCATTATAAACAACTCAAACACAGTCAAGAAGATGCAAACATTGACTCACTTTTGACTCGCCATAAGGACAACCTCAGCACTGTAAAGAGGGTAGTCACGTGTACGGTAGATCTGTCACATTTACCTGTAATACCGATCAACACCAAACATTCAACTTCCTTCTATGACTCAGGCCCTACAGGACTCGGGTTGTAAGAATGGCTCACAAGAGTTGTCTCACCTGTAACAAACCGTAGCCTTCACCAACAGCAAACAACAACAGGTGGCTGTCAGGCGTCGCACCACCCACACCGCTACCTGGAGATCTGCCTGAACACCAACTCACGTAAGTGTTAATAAATGTTCGACTATTATTCCTCAATAAATAAAACACCATAAACATTGTATACGCAACCAGAAGTTTACAAATTATAAATGATGTAATTATAAACCTAGAAATTATAAGCAACAATAGAGAGAAAAATGAAGTTGACGAAGACAGTAGAGACGAATCCATCAATGTTACTCAATGGCATGAACCGAGGCACCACAACCCAAGCTGACCCTAGACATAACCCAAGCTGACCCTAGATAAACCCAAAGTGACCCTAGACATAATCCAAGTTGACCCTAGACATAACCCAGGCTGACCCTAGATAAACACCAAGCTGACTCTAGACATAACCCAAGCTGACCCTAGACACAACCCAAGCTGACCCAAGACATAATCCAAGTTGACCCTAGACATAACCCAGGCTGACCTCGGGTAACTCAGTGTCAAGGTAGGTAAGGATGAAGGTCACAGTGAGTCTCTCGACGGCGAGGGAGGCGGCGAGGGCGACGAGGATGGGCAGTCTGGCATCCACGCTGCGAGGGGAACACGTCACCAACATAGTCACCACCACGCTCACCACGTAGAACACCACCTGTAGGCACCGGGCACTCATTATCACCACTGGTCTCCTCTACTGATACACGTCACTATGTACACATGAGGGTTTCCTGGTACACATGAAGGTCTTTTGGTAGACATCACTACGATGTATACATGTGTGGGTCACCATGTATATATACAACACTAAACTTCTCTAACTTCAAGTGATAAACGAACCTTCACTTTACCTGATTACTTTGTTTAAACATCTTATTGACTCGGTAAGCTGATGACAAAGTCTAATCCTAATAAATACACTTGGAGCCGAGAGGTTTACTGGCCACACAACTAAACTGATGACCGCGTAGTTCAGTGGTATCCCTGCAGTAAATCAAAGGCTGTAATACAAGTCCTGCTCGAGTACTTACAGCATAAAACCAGGAGAATTCGCCCATGACGAGGTTTTGAAGCTGACCAACACGATCGAACACATCGATGATGAGACCATGTTGCTCTGCAGTCGACTCTCTGGACAAAGACATTTATGCATATATAAATTTACTCATACTTATGTAAACAAATATATTTATATATACTTATATATTTATATATACATTATACACATATACCTGAACATAACCCCCTCCAACACACACACACACACACACACACACACACCTTATCTCAGAGAAGACATTTTTGAGAGCTTGGCGGGACTCGGTGATTTGAGCATCCATCTGTAACCTAAGGGCAGATGCTGAATCCACCGCCTGCGACAGTTGCAAGCTGACTGCCTCAGACGACTTCCGTAAGCTGGCGAGAGACATCAACAGTAAATTAACACACACACACACAATAGCGCATCTAAACACACAGTCAACGCAACCCAAGTGACGTTGAATGAATCTCACATTTAATGGAATGAAAGATCCACGTCACGTGTGGCGTCACTGCAGAAGACCTTAATAGCTACAAGACAAGTGATGAACAATGAAAAAGTAAACATAAAAAGTGTAGCACAGGTTTCTACTTCAAGAAACAATATTAAGTAATGTAAATACAAATTACATGGCACTTTATTAATTTACTCGCTAATAACTACAAGGCAAGTAAAATTCCTCCACCCGAATACAGAGATGCCAGTACACACCTCCACCACATTAGTACTCCAGGTGTACTCTTAAGACCATGTACAAAAAAATGTCAACAAACTACCTCTCGTGTTCAATTAAGATGGTACTATAACAATAATAATGGGTTTATCCACCACCAGAGTTTAACTCGTATCAACCATCCCCAAAATCATGATCAGTTAAATTTCCGATAGTTTATTTATTTATTTTTTTTTATAAAGGGCGACTGCACTTGTGGGAGGGGGAGGGTTACCGTGTGCACCTCTTTAATATTAAAGAAATGTTGAGAAGTTGAAGTTAAAGAACAATCATTGTATACAGTGTTCGTTGCAATGTGTTGATCCTTGAACGCTTGAATAATTCTTTGAGGATTCTTGTCTACAACCTGGATACAGTAGCCTAAGAATCCCTATAACCTAACCCAGGGAAGCCCTCTTCCTGGCTGGCCAAGGGTATATTTCTATAAGAGCCTTCCATCTTCAACAAAGTCTTCAAACACTCGCCTTTACTGAGGTTAAACTCGTGACAAAATACCTGTGAACAGCATCCGTAGTGGCTTGGTGCCAGGCCTGGGCTTGTAGGAAGTGGCACATGGCTAGCGTAGAGGACAACATGGAGGAGTAAACAGTGGCGGCCCGGGAGTCTAAGTGGTACATACATGCATCCAGAGGCTCCTCCTTCTCGCAGGGGTACACCACCCACCCGAATCTAACCATGTAACAGTTGGTGAAGGCCAGCGCCAGGCGACTCTGTACCTGAGTGATTGATGTTCAGTGGCTAAAACAACTATCTGTGCAGGTAGGGATCGATATGCTCAGAAATTTTACGTGTTACTAGAGACAGCCCGCATACCAAAATTTATCGTCCATGGTCTCATATTGTTTCCCACAAAGTATGCACAGGTAGTTGTTTTAGCTTCTGTACATATACATTAGTACTGTATGACAATAGTTTATGTCATGTGATGCCTTATTTAGAAGGGGTTATCTACGTAATATAAAATTATAGATAAAACGTACATATACTTCTAATTAAAAGACAAAAACTACCTGATATTTTTTGGAGGCCAACCTCTTCGATGAACATAAGAGCTCCATCCTCTGGCAATGATATTATCTGCTCCAAGAGGGACCCGCCTCTCAGGCTGCCACTAGTACATGCCCAGCTGCCACTAGTACAACATTTTTTTTCGCACATCTTCCTATATCGTTGCATAGTTGTCTTGAGGTATGTGCACCTTTTGATTTATTTCCCCCCAAAAAGTGAAGGTTAGAAAAGGAAGAGAAAGAGATATAAGGTCACCTCATCAGTAAGGTTGGAACATCCGTCGCGAAGGTCTTGTAAGGTATTCTGGTAACAGTCGCCATACCTGCCGGATACAAGAAATACAAGACTGAATAAGAACCCCTCAAATCAGTGTGTTTACATTTATCAAAGACAATAAAGCTGGACCGACTAACTTTTGGTCGTCTACACCCTGAGGATCAACGGTTTTAATAGAGCGAGTCAAAGTACAGTCACCAGCACTTACACCTGGTACAAAGGCTGGTGCGTTTTCTTGAGATGTGGCACGTCTGTGTTTGTTTACATTGTATTAAAACTCCCGGAATGACCCTAACGATCCTCACAATAGTAACTATACTAAGGATGCTAAATAAGCATTCCACAGGTGCCATATCTCCCCAAATCCTCCAGCTACTGTACCAGGTGTAAGTGCAGGCGACTGCACATGTGGGTTGCTCGCGCCTCCACCACCCCCATAAGCGTAAAAAGGATCAAACGAGGGTTAAGAGACTGCCAGGACGTTACTGTCAACACCAACCCTGCCGCAGTCCCCATGCCAACCCCTGCCCAGCAGTCCCACGCCCGCCACAGTCCCACACCCGCCACAGTCCCACACCCGCCACATGTATGGTAGACTTGACACAGGTACAGACGTCTCTCTCACCTGGGCATCTTGGACTGCGTGGTCATGAGTTCATAATGCAGTTGACCTTCCTTGGCGGTGCCCTCTAGGTTATCGTTGAGGTTGCCGAGGGTCGCTACCATCTTGACCACCAGCGTCACCACCACCACACACCACCCAAGCTTCCTCTTCACGCCGCACCTCCTGGTGAACATGGTTTTGACTAAAGGCACGAATGGTGGTTTTATGTAGCACAGATTACGAAGTTGCTACACAGACTAATTTTTTGTATTCTCTGAAAAATATGTTAAAAAGCGTGGAGGGAAACTGTGGACTCGGCTATCTTCCTTCCCCCAACTGTGAACTTGGGAAAACATTTACTGGCGGGTAGACTGGGTGTACCCTGGTGTCGAACCAGCTACCTTTAACACAGGAGGCGAATTACTTATGAACGGTAAATAAGTCATTCAGAAAATGAAAACGAACTGAACCAAATATCATCTTAACAGGGAAGGTGAAATTAGGTTAGAGAAAGTTAGGAAAGGTTAGGTCAAGTTTCCTTCTGTTCGATTGTTCATGTGTTGCGTGTTTTTACCTCACAATTTCCCTCTAATTCAAAGCCCTAACCATTTTGTGCATGAATTTTCGTGACTGTAGGCGGTCCTAAAACGAATAATAGCCATAAGCACCATCGTGCCATCGAAGGGTGTAAACACGGCGGACAGAGGCAACTAAAAAACGGATTGTTACCACCAGAAACGAAGGTCAAATTCGTTCGAATCACAACAAGAATCACAAGAAAAACATTTCTTTTATGGAAAATCGTAACCTGGCTACTATCATAAATTGACCTGAACTGTAACTTTAACAAGAACAAGTCACTGAACAATTCTATATCACTCAGCGGTTTGTTCGTTATGATCATTCAGTTGAGTGAAGCTTTTTGTCAAAACTTTGAAGCACCAAAAGCGTGTACACCACTAACTTGATGTTCCCTAATTAACCCTGGCCACAGCTCTGTCGCTGCACTTGTCTTTCATTATTTCCATTAAACCAAAAGTTTTGAGAAATTTCCGAAAGACAAGTCCGCTAGTCATTGTATATTTCCTCCGTACGGGAATTCATTATCTGGTCCAGAAGAAACAACACCTTTGACCTTCACTGTATCTACTTCATCTAGCTATTAATACAACTCTTTGCCACTGTATGTCACAAGGCTGTGGAGACCTTTACCTATGATAAATTAGTGACAGTAACATAACTTACCCCATTATCCAACAGCACATACTTCCACTCTCCACGGTTCCCCTGACTAAACTAATTCGGTCAGCGGCCAACCAGTGACTGTCATTGGAAGAGAATGGCGCTGTGGATAACGAGCCTATACAGTATTTTAAAACGCGAAACAGTGATTATTTGCAGTCAGTCTACGATAAAGTTGTAAAAAAAATTTGAAGAATGATAAAAAAGGCGAACATGTCTCCAGTTCTGCCTATAATAATATTCGGTTATAATCTCACGTAAGAAATAAAATTGTGTTCTCCAAGTCGGGTAATAATACTGACAACAACATGGAAACTCTTCACCTTATCTGTAGGATAAAAACATCGCATCTTACCGTGATTTCTACCTGTAGTAAATATTGTAAATGATCACAGCAAATGTTGGAAGTGGATACCATTCCCAATATTTACTGTACGTAGAACCAGGTATATTACAATGTAGGTAAAACAAGGTGCAACTAGTGTTAATTATTACAGGTGCACACGAACTCTTAGATCACTCTATATTAAGCAGTGTTCACCAGGTATGACTCGAAGTAGATATCAGGTATTACAAGCTGTAGGGGAGGTATGGTCTCTACTATGCATATAAAATCATGACTCTTACCTCTTTATGATTTACCAAATACAAATGTAATGATTAAGGAACTTTCTACAACGTAAATACAAACATTTCCTCGCTTGCCATTCCATTATTCACCTGTGCTTCTTACCTTTGTGTGAGCATGGGAGTGTGTCGTGAATATAATACATACAAAAAATCATCCTTTAATTTTGTTCTTTTGGGGGGAATAGGTTTATATTGAATAGCTATACACACCCCATGATGTGATTGGTTCACCATCATCTACAAATATCAAAATGAACAGTCCGCGACATAATCGTTATTTAAACATACGTACAAATATTCTATCACTGGAAATTATGCAAAATATAATTTTACATCCTCTATTTTTCTGAATTTACCAAATATGGAGAATTTTGCCACTTAAATTAAAAGTTATTTCGCCACACAGACTACTCACGCAAAGTTAGCACAGTGTAATAAACCAGGTGTCATCTGCAGGACCTGAACCCGGGGACCTGTCAATACCAAATACAAGTTTATTTAACGGCCGATTTCCCCAGCTGCCCGTGACTACCGGCTTGCACTAACCTACCCTGACCTTTATTTTGTTATATTATTGAACAATATAGACTTTCCCTTAGCACTGTACAGTATATGTTTATTTTTATCACAAATGTGTCTCTGGTGTTTTTCCTTCTTGCCCACGTTCCCTCACGCTGTTGACTCCTCAAGCGTGGAGGATTTACGACAGTGCAGTTATTAAGGACCAACCTGTTGCCCACGATGACTCCTAAGAATTTATACAACACAGTCAAGCAATAGAGAGAATTTGAGACGATGGATGAACCATACCCACCACTTAGCCAGACTACAGTAGCCTGTTCGGTCACACTTGGTGAGGTCAAGTTTTGTAACCAGAATCTGTTACTTGGTATTTGACGTGATGTAACGCAGGTATTTGACGTGATGTGACGCAGGTATTGGACGTGATGTGACGCAGGTATTTGACGTGATGTAACGCAGGTATTTGACGTGATGTGACGCAAGTATTTGACGTGATGTGACGCAGGTATTTGACGTGATGTGACGCAGGTATTTGACGTGACGTGACGAAGGCTATTTAACGGAACTGTCAGATGGATAAAGAGAGATAGTCTGTGTTGATCAATATGGTGAGTAACACCCGAGAGAACATGTGTTAGCTATACCCATTAAATTCTAAGTCCGAGAGAAAATGTTTTGTCGTTAGTCTTAGGGTTAAATAAGCTGGGATGGAGATTCTTCAGGTTGTGTTGTAGTCATTAGGGGAAAAATACTAGAATTATCCAGGATAAATATTTATTTACATGTTGTTTACACCGGTCCAAAAGTATGTACATATTTTACCTGTACAGATAAAGGCGAGAGAAGAACGATTTACACACAATATAGATATATAATTATATATTACTCTTTTTCTTTGGTTTGACACCTCTATGTTAAAGCTTTCTTCTGCAGCTTAAGCTTCATTACAAACAGTACATATTACAGTTAAAAAGAGTCGTTCACATATTTGTGCTGCACTTTGTCTACATCACAAAGAAGATTAAGACTAAGGCTGTATGAACAAAAGACCAGAGAGTGAGGTGAGGTCAGAGTTTATAAAGACCAGAGAGTGAGGTGAGGTCAGAGTTTATAAAGACCAAAGAGTGAAGTGAGGTCAGAGTTTATAAAGACCAAAGAGTGAGGTGAGGTCAGAGTTTATAAAGACCAAAGAGTGAGGTGAAGTCAGAGTTTATAAAGACCAAAGAGTGAGATGAGGTCAGAGTTTATAAAGACCAAGAGTGAGGTGAGGTCAGAGTTTATAATGGCTCTCCAGATCACACGTTCCTTGTCATACAGAATATATGATGGAAACTTCATAAGCTTTTACGGAAAACTTAAGAGATTATAATTAGTAATACAATTTGGCTTTTATTGCATAAGACAATACTGTTTTTTAATCATACACCCAAAACACACACACACACACACACACACACACACCTGATACAAAGTTCCATTCCCACAATAATAACAGGTATTGTATATCTATAAGCACAGTAGGTGATCGCTACAGAGCAAGTGACTCAATATAGCGTCAAGAGAACTACCATCTGTCCCAGTTTCACGAGTCATAAAAACGCAGCTTAATACTCTAGCTAAGACTTTACGTACAAATGAACTCGAAATTCTGCCTTAGTAAACGTCATGTTGCGAGGGTGAAGTAGCTGTTATTAACTTGACTGGCAGGTGACGCTAGTGTTAATTAACTGTCTTAGTCCGCCTCCTACGCTCGCCGCTCCACGACACACTGGAACCAAGTGTTTGCTAGTCGTGGTACTCAACTCAGCTTTACCCACACATACAGAAGCCTACCACATGAGTTGTACTTTAAGTTTGTCATTAGTTAAAGAATGCGTTGATTAAATAATAATACTTGATTACCAAACATTTGTCATAGTGATAAATTGTAAAGTAATAAAGTAGAGAGAGACTTTGTTTGGCATTAAGTACCGAAAGTTGTTAAAATAAAGATGTGAATTTTCATATACTTTTACCCCAGCTTCAACACTTAGTTAAAATGACCGTACATTGAACACTACTTGACGACGCGGTTAAAATAATGTGCTTAATTTTTAGCTGTACTGATAAATATTTAATGACGTTTTGCAGTTTCTGAACCAACTAACACAAAATATATATTATACTTGTAAAACCTTCCCTATTGGCCAGTTAGGTCGATGGGTGTCTAATCTAAAGGTTTTAAGTCTGTCTGTCTGTGTATAGGGGTGTGGGGAACTGTGGTAAGACGTGGGGAAGTGTATGGGTGTGGGGAAGATGTGGAGGTGTGGGAAGGTGTCATTCATTATTGTATTTATGAAAGGTTGAAATCAATTGTAATATATATTAAACAAATAAATTAAAAACTCGATATTTATATAACTTCCAAAGGACTAAGATGACATGAATATCCTGATCCCTTCAAGGAGAATGAGAGGAGTGCCTGTGTGTGCGTCTGTCTCTCACAACATGAACTGAGATGTAATAATGTTGTAGTGAAAACCCGGACAAGATAATTACGTGTGAAGACGCAGTAACAAACTTGTCACGTTATCAAGGTACTGTTGGGGTAGTTACCAAGGTACTGTTGGGGTAGTTACCAAGGTACTGTTGGGGGTCGTTACCAAGGTACTGTTGGGGTATTTACCAAGGTACTGTTGGGGGTCGTTACCAAGGTACTGTTGGGGGTCGTTACCAAGGTACTGTTGGGGTCGTTACCAAGGTACTGTTGGGGTCGTTACTAAGGTACTGTTGGGGTATTTACCAAGGTACTGTTGGGATCGTTACCAAGGTACTGTTGGGGTCGTTACCAAGGTACTGTTAGGGTCGTTACCAAGGTACTATTGGGGGTCGTTACCAAGGTACTGCTGAAGAATCTTTGGTGAAAAGTGAGAGTAGAACGGTTAAGCTTATTAATGTATTTTTGATTACACTAAACAAGAGGAGGAGAGATGGCAGCACCAGCGACCAACTCAAGACAAAGGTGTACTGAGAGGTTCTTGAGAGAGGGGAGTGGTCGTGTTAACAAGTACGCAATATGGTGCTGACTCTACACCACCTAACCTCTCATGATAAAGTAGTCTATGGAATATACCAAAAAGGAGATTAATGTTAACGAGGTAGTTTAGTAGTTAACATTAAGATAAACAGTAGATATGGTTCATGTATGAGTGATTATTTTTTCTTCAAGAGTTTGTTGATATGAACAAGAACAAAGCTTTGGGGGGGCTGCAATAGACAATAAGTTATGGTAAGATCAAACTTGATCAACTCTTGTAACAGAAGCTAAAAACCGTACTGTAGTTGTTACTAAATTACACCATAGTATGTGTCTAACATCGGTAAAAGCTATCCAATGAGAGCGATCATACAAGGCGAATGATTCCCTTGGATAGATTTATGACGTACTGCACTGTACTGAACTGAACTGAACTGAACTGAGTGTTGAACGAAACGGATCAGGTTCCTGCACACACCAAGAGCTGAACCCATTGACCAGGACCAGTTCAACTCTCTTATGTCCAGGTACTGACGATCTGGCCTTCCACCCTAGGCCCAGGGACTTCCTACACGGCCAGCAGTAGGCAGGTCCAGGCTGAACATAACAGTGTGCCCGCAGCCCTGGACTGACCAAGCACACTACACAATAACAACATTACTAGAGGCGTCTAAGAGACAAATATATTTAATTACTTGTTGAGGCATGAATGAAATATATTATTTACATATAAGACAATGTGCTATATAGACAATATATGTTATATACAACCTTACTTTATGAAACAAAATTTCCAAGATGTTTCCGAGATAAAAGAAGCGACGCTATACACCCTCGTACATCACTCAGGAGTTAAAGTTATCCTCACAGACTGAGTTACGAGTTACACAGTTGAGCATATTTTTGTCTGGGTCTGCACAAATTCATGGTACCAAAGTTTATATGTTAGTGTCTCGCAATTCTTAGTGGAAAATATTACGACTCGGAAGTGTCAGTCACCGGTTCTCCAGCTGTGCCGCGCGCTTATCAGTGAGGTTTGTGACCCAGTATTTATACCTCAACATATTTCCTTAGAAGTAAAAATAAATGTCGTATCCATAAGCGTGACAGCAGCGAACAATCCTCCTGTTACCCTGCTTCTTCTTGTCCGCTGGTGAAGGTGTGGAGATCGTCCCCCCAGACCTGCCCCCGCCCCACACGTCTTCCTCCTCACGGTAAACTGACTGACTTAATGTCCCGTGTCCAGTATAATTTAATTTCTATATTACAGTTAAGAGTATCAAGAGTATGTCGTCATGAGAATCATCTGAAAAGAGAGGAATGATATCATTAGTCACTTTAACATGGAAAATGAGACAATGGAAGACGAAATTTAAGTAATAGTACCAGTATGAGTCCTATGTCTGCGGTGAGAGTGTTAGATAAAGTTCTTCATTATAATACGAGAACAAGACAATAAGAGCTTTATGAATCTCAAGTATTTATTATTATATTTAAAATTGGAAAAATTAATTAAATGTGAAGTTTGGGCGAATCATCTTACCTCCTCTAATGATAATGGGTTTCCTTTCATCTTTGTGTCTATGCTGTGATAACGCTCTGTAGGGGAGAAAACAAGTCAGTATATAGTCCAACATTATATAATACAAGTCAACTGAAATTATCATCTAAACTGTACAGTAAATATATAGAAAATATACATGTTTACTGATTCATTTTCCTGAGACAACTGTAACGTGTAGTACAGTGTAACGAACAGCATGTACACAAACCACATATTATGTAATATTATGTGTACATAATGTGTATCTGTATGTAACAATAGTGTGTAAGTGACAATATTATGTGCATGTAACATTGTGACGTATATGTAAGTAACAATACTATGTAAGTAACAATAGGATGTGCTTTATGAACTACGAGAAGAAGGATGACCTCTTACCATGTGACAGGTGGAGCCTCACAAGAGCCATCAGGAAAGCCTCAGATGTAAGAACTCGGTTTTTGGCGAACCTGAGCACCAGACACTCGAGCACCTTGTTAGAGACAGTGACTCCGGCCTCCCACAGCGCCGGCCGCAGGTGGTAGGAGGACGTCTTCCCCGTGTGGCTCCTGTCAAACTTGAGGAAGGCCGTCTGAGGGAGAACAGGTGTTGTCATACTCACATGACTATAATAATATAAATGTTATACTAAATAGGGATAATGACCGAATAGAAATAACTTCTATGTATTTATCTTCTTTGGAAACTTCTAACTGGCCATAAATAATCATGTAGACTATAAACATTCTTGTAAATTAATAGTTTGAAACTATGGAGGGAGGGAAGGTGGGAGGCACCAACCTTCCAAAACTGAAGCATAATAAGGAGTCCTGGAACATCCACCAGAGACACCCGGCCGCTTATATTAAAGTCTCGCAACATTATGAGGCTCTTGACTAACTCTAGGCTCGGCTTTTCCACCAGAAACTCTGAAACAAAACAAACTCTATAATCAAACAATAATTATTCTAAACAGTCAGAAATACCAGTAAGGAAATTTTGTATATATTTTTTTTTTCACGCACCAAAATTGTTCCTTTATCCCCTGTAGTGATATTTACGTACTAGTGTCCACGCTACCCATTAGCCACACAAACAGATTCACGAGTCTCAATCTTGGGGTCGCGTAGAGTAGAAGAGGTGACGAGACTTTTAACGGTAACTATACGGTAATATTAGTAACGGTGACAAAAGTAGTGGTTATGGTACTCACGTTTCCAGTGTGTCTTGAGGAACTTGTGGAAGAGATGAGGGTCCAGCTCTGGCGGGTACTTCTGCAACATCTTCTGTAACATCACCCGCCCGTCACGCTGGAAGACAATGAAACGTCAGAGTGAGGGAAGACACTACAAGATGACGTGAAGAAAGGATAGAAAAAGACAAAATTAATGAAAAAATATAGATGAAAAGATCAAATTGATTAAAAAGATATAACACAAATGACTTACAGTGACGAGAGAGAGAGAGAGAGAGAGAGAGTAAACACACACAGACACTGGCAAACACTCACCTGTATGGACACACACACACACACTACACATTTATACATTACACAAACATATACCATGGAAACATACATACACACACACATAAGTATAGAACACACACATTTCTATATACAAAAACACACACACATCCGATAATACACAAAACCTCCACAGAGAAAGTATCACAGAAATACAACTAGATCAGTAAGTTGTAGTGTGTGTCTCACTAACAGCCCATTAACCCCCTGCAAGACACACTGATGGTTCTGTCCCGGAAATTGAATGGTGTATTAGGTTAGTTTTATGACGTACTATAAGGCAGGCGCTCTCGACGGCTCATACCTGGTGATGTGGTTTAGCTGTGATGACATTGACCGTGTGAAACTCTACCTAATATTGTGCCTTATATTTTGTATGTTGTATATTTTAAACCTCTAGTTCCTGTACTTCTTAATATGCCGTTTATTATTGTTATTCTTCATAATTATAATTACTATTATTATTACTGTTATTGTTATCATAATCAGTATCAATAGTAGTAGTAGTAGAAGTAGCTGAAATAGTAAAGGTAAAAGTGGTAGTAGTAGAAGTAACTGAAATAGTAAAGGTAAAAGTAGTAGTGGTAGTAGTAGTAGTAGTAGTAGTAGTAGTAGTAGTAGTAGTAGTAGTAGTAGTAATAGTAGTTACTCACCAACTTGTGACCATCGTCCAACCTCTCCAAGCTGATGGATCGAAACACCATGTTGTCTTCGTTCACTTCCCTGTGATACAAACAGTCAATGTTTACAGTCTCATCATTAAGGTAAATCAATACAGGTGTTGTCCAGAAGAATATTGTCTAATACTTGTGTCTCTGTGAAACTGTTGGTGAGAGTTTGTGTGTATGTACGCGTGTATAGTGTGTGTGTGTGTGTGTGTGTGTGTGTGTTTGTAGAGGTGTTAATGGACGCCTAAGGATTTATATTAACATTACCAGTAGTTAATCAGCGTTAATAGCCTTCGTTAGCAATAAAACTTGTCATAACACACTAACACCAGGAGACATTAGCGAGGCGTCACCCACCAGATGTTGCTCTGTTCGTCTGTAAGGATCCGGAGGAGGAATTTGGCATCGGAGTTGGCGTGAGCTGTGTGAGGGACCACCATGTAGTCCCCTGGAGGCAGAGTGAAGAACGTCACTGTCTCTCTGGCCATGCTGTGTGACGTCACGTCCATTGGCCGCTGTGTAGAATATATATATATCGATAATGTATCTAAATGCATTATAAACCAACTTAACATTCATTAAAACTATAAAATAAAGACAAACAACTACGACATTATACAGTAAGAACAATATTGTCTTATACAAATTATGAAAAATGGTATTAAAATAAGTCACATTTTGTTACACTAAAATGGGTTATGGTTCCTGATATTCACGTAACAAGTGTAAAATATAACGTATAGATTATATCAAAATATGTTCTTCATTTGTATTTCTGTGAATAAACACATTCTCGAGTAACAATCGGATATAATTAAAGCCACAGCATATAATATCTTGTGGCAGAGAAATGTGTCGCCAAGAACCAAAAACAACTACATCAATGTGAGGTAAGGTTGACACTGTAGGTAAATTACGTGTTCATTAACAAAGGCGGTGGTGAGGCGAGTCACATTAGGAGGAATCTCATAGACAGCGAAGCCAATGGGGTGTAGATGGTAACGCTTCTTGTTATCTTGAGCCGAGAGGAAGGTGTGATAGTGCTGAGTCACCGACACTACCACGTGACACTTGGACACACCCACCCGCGGGATCTGCACGTGGAACTGTGGATTCATCGCAGTCGTCTCTGAACACAACAACAAGAGGAGGTTTAGAATGATCTTAAGACAGGGGGAATACATTGTCTTTGGTCATCAGAAACTGTAGAGACTCTTATACGGGGGAAGAATAAAGAAAAACACGAAGAAAATGTGATAACCATAATAGCAAAAGCAGCGAGGATGTATTTAATATGAAAACAATTAGAGTGAAGAACTAAGGTAGGTGGAAGAGAGACAGAAAGGCCCTGAGTACTGCCAGACCTAAAGGCTTACCTCAGTCTTATGTTGTGTTCTCACTGTTTACACTCACTCTTTATCACCTTCATTATCTTTAGTCTTACCTGTTAATATTTCCCTTGTGTTACTCTCGTTAAATAAACATTATAACTGGATTCCTTCATCTAATATACCCCCTCCCCCCCTTTAGTCCTGACAACACGGGCATCAAAAATGTTATTGTTCTTGTATATTACGTCATGTGTCAGTATGTTTACTTTTTACTTCTGAAATCCAATCCAACTATTTCCTTGCATTTATATTCTCACCAACCCATCTACAGAGTTCAATTTTTGTATCTCTCTTTCGTTTCTTATCACTTCTTAGTCTTTATGCTTGTTTTTTTTTTCTAATTTATTCTATTTATCGTAAGAACTATAGCTGGTATCAATATTGTAATCAACTGCCTATAAATAATAAAGCTAACCAAGCAAAGTACTATTGTCTAAGTTGCTATAGAGCGATGACATCAACATCATCTTGAGCTCGTGGGATAACATCTGGCTGTAACATTATCACTATCTGGCTACACTAAGTACAGGTAAACACATCTGGCTACACTAAGTACAGGTAAACACATCTGGCTACACTAAGTACAGGTAAACACATCTGGCTACACTAAGTACAGGTAAACACATCTGGCTACACTAAGTACAGGTAAACACATCTGGCTATACTAAGTACAGGTAAACACATCTGGCTACACTAAGTACAGGTAAACACATCTGGCTACACTAAGCACAGGTAACTACTGACCAAGATGATGAGGACCTCCGCCGGCGTTATATCCTGCTCTCCAACGGCGTCTGGCTAGCACCGCCCGCCACGGTTTCTTAGAGTGGAGAGCTGGCTCGTTCATCCAGTCATCTGGCCCAACGTGTACCAGGTCCAGGTGAGTAAAGTGACGAGCGAAGTCCTCAAACGCCATCCTGGAGGTGAAGGAGAAAATTATACGCTTGGATACTTGTAACTTATCAAGGTGTCGCAACGAAAGTACCCATGGTGTCAGATATACCTATACATGATAATTGACGGTTCTGACACATACAGTCACCTGGCCACATTAACGCTATCCTCAGTTTATGTCCAAGCCAGTTACCACATCACCAGTACAGCTCAAGTTCCCTCCTCCACTCCATCTTTTAGTTATAGGTGTCCAGTTGTCGTCATTGTGGATGGGAATTTATATTTTCCCTTGACATATGATCTTATTCAACGTTGTCGTGTAGGAAGAAGTGAACGACAGAGTGGTGAAGAATATCCCTGATGTTGTTCAATAGGAATGATAAAAGTTTGTCCCCAGCAGCAGTAAGTGAGGAATGATTTAGTGAAACAAAGGATGAACATATTGAAGATTAACTCAGCTATAAAGGATTACTATTTCATTCATCTTGCTGCAATCCAATAGACAACATGGAGGGTATTAACGTGGTAAAACTCCCCTCACAGGAAAGATTAAGTGAAGATCAGAATTTCTGTAAGAGCAGCAAGATCTACCTCTCCCCTGTCCTTGAGGTGTTAGTCGAATGCTGACTCACTTAACTTGAGGATATTCTGGAACACACAATTCTGTCAGTATCTGGAAAAATACTAAAGATATTTCTACGGATTTGACTCTCCATCTTTCACTCATTCATCTCCATCTGACCATAATCTTGTTATTACCTAAACTACGTAGAGATGGTTCGAAAGCGTTATGAGATGAGACGAAAACATCTGGTGGCAAAGCGGTAACGTACGTATCTCTCACCAATATGTCAGGAGTTCGAGTCCTGTTTGGTCCGGATACACCTAAGAAGTTCTGTTTCTATCTCGTTGACAATTTTATGATATAGCGAGAGATTATAATAAATCCCTTTTAAATTTAGGTTATAAATTCAGGCAGCGAGGTGGTGAGTTTACTAGATAAGTTATAGAGGAAATAGCCATATATCTTCCTGTGCTCGGGGATGGAACACTTAATTATTGACATGAACTGATCTATAATTCTGGTGAGAGGGGTGAAGGCAGGAGAACAGGTGGAAGGATGATAGTGTTCATTACCAACAATTTTATCTCCAGAACAAACATCACAAGAGTCCAACACACACCAATCGGCTCTCACAATAACCATCAATTTTTTTATAAACTTTTTTAAACTTTCATTTTTCGTCGTAAACCCTATATATATATTCGTTATAACTTAATGGTGTTCAATTTCTCCCCACAATGGACCATCACGTGTGTTACTCCGTCACTGAGCTGTGACAGACCATCATCTACTCTCAACTCACCAAAATTCTCCGTCGTTCTTCACCCTGACGGAGAGCAACACTTTGTCCCGTTCTGACAGAGAGTCCCACTCCCACGACCGTTCACTCCAGGGGCCGTTCCACTCACCACGCCCCCAGGGGTTCCTCAGTCTGGGGAAACATATGATTATTAATAAACTGTTTATTTGTGGTAATTATGAATACGTTGGCAACATAACATTAGAACAATACTCTGGAAAAAAAATTATATGCAGTAATCAAACAAGGTTTATAGGTAAAAGATTACAGTCATTTAGTATTTATTATTATCAACGTGTTATCCTGGAGAGGTAAAAATGTCGAAATACCAGAAAGTAACATTTTGATATTTTCAATCTGAAGCAGACTGTAGTCACAGGTAACACAGGTGTGGTGTTAATTAAAAAATAAAAGCTTTCGGATAAATGCAGGTAGAAAAATACCACATTTAAATCCTATCGGCAAGTAACACTGACGAGAAATACTAATGATTATGTAACACTGACACGAGAGAGAATGAGGGCCTGGACACCATGCCTGAGAGAGAAGCTGACCTGTGTGTGTGTGTGTTATAGCTGAGAACCCACCTGACCAGAGGAGTTTCACCCAGCTTGCTCCTGACCCTGGCTAGCCCCGTGACGCTGTAGGCATGTTGCGTCACCAGTCCGTTCCTTAGTCGCAGGTTCCTCTTGGTGTCCTTCTCCTGATTTTTTTTTGACGAAGGAGGAGGGGAGAAGAAAGAGAGGAAGGAGGAGGAGGAGCAGGAGGAGGAGGGGAAGGAGGAGGAGGGGAAGGAGGAGGAGGGGAAGGAGGAGGGAGGGAAGAGGAGGAGGGGAGGAGGGGAGGGGAAGGAGGAGGGCAGGAGGAGGGAGGGGGGAGAGGGGGGAGAGGGAAGGAGGAGGAGGGGAAGGAGGAGGAGGGGAAGGAGGGAGGAGGGGGGAGAGGGAGGAGGAGGGAGGGGGGAGAGGGGAGGAAGATAATCATCATTATATGGCTCACACAAAACACAATAGTCTTATTATCATTTTTTAATTTTATATTCAGAGTACGATTTAATTTTACTTTTGCAAGAAAATTCGGGTATTAATTTATAATGTATTCAGAAACTGTACAAAAGTATCTGAACATAACATGACATTAGGAAAAGCCTGAATTGTCGACTCTTAAAAAAATAAAATAAAAAACAGGTATGCCTCTAAAGCTTTCAAAATCCAAACAGGAAATTTATACTCTAGAACAACAATATATAAATATGTTAAATATTCACCAAAAAAGTCCAATAAATAAAAAAACATTTATTCAACGCAGAAGGACGGATTAGTGTTTTATGTGAGGGGCAAAGGTAAACAATGATGAAGTAAACAAAGGTGTGGGTAAACAATGGTGTGGGTAAATAAAGGTGTGGGTAAACAAAGGTGTGGGTAAGCAAAGGTGTGGGTAAACAAAGGTGTGGGTAAACAAAGGTGTGGGTAAACAAAGGTGTGGGTAAACAACGGTGTGGGTAAACAAAGGTGTGAGTAAACAAGAGAGAAAAATAGACTTAAAAATGAGCACAAAATACTGATGTCAAACAGGAATTGCCTTAAACAGCTGGTCACTGTAGGCCTACAGTGACCAGCTCGATACACCAGTCAAGAACAGTCATGGGGTGTACGACGCCCTTTACGATGACCTTCTTGCCCTGATCTTGTTTCAGGAATAACTACCTTTTCGAGCTCTGGAGATATCTCGAAGTTTCTATATTTTGAGTACAGCACTAGCTAATAATTCCCACCAGGAAACTTGCTTCGAGACTCCTCCAAAGCTTCGAAAAGTGCAGAGTTCCATGTGTCAAAGGCGATATTGCTGGAAAAAGATGAGGGCAAGAAGGTCATCGTAAATGGAGTCGAACACCCCATAACTGTTCTTGAATATGGCGAGTCTCGGACGATCATGCAGCACTACAGTGAACACTAGATGACTGAGGAAACACTACGGGCAACACAAGATGACTGAGGAAAGACTCGCAACATTAAAGATAACACTAGATGACTGAGGAAAGACTCGCAACACTACAGACAACACAAGATGACAGGGGTAGGAAGGGGACACACACCAGGTTGATGGAGGCGACCAGGAGGGTGGAGCGAGGCACGGCAGAGTTGAGAACCTGGTAGGTGAGGAACTTGTCTTGCATGGTGAGGCTAAAACTCTGCACGATGCCCCCCGTCAGATCTTGCAGCGCCCTCGTCGTGAACCCCTGCTGCAGTGCCTCATAACTCCCGTACAACCTGTAGCAACGGGAAAGGGGACTTGTTAATTACATGTTATTAGGTATAAACACAGGTAGGATGATCAGGTGAACGGAATAGCTTTTAATATATCATCGTATACGAGGAGTAAGTTATAACTCACTTGGCATAAACTATCATAAATTCTTCTCACTTGGCATAAACTATCATAAATTCATACTCACTTGGCAAAAACTATCATAAATTCTTCTCACTTGGCATAAACTATCATAAATTCATACTCACTTGGCAAAAACTATCATAAATTCATACTCACTTGGCATAAACTATCATAAATTCATACTCACTTGGCATAAACTATCATAAATTCATACTCACTTGGCATAAACTATCATAAATTCATACTCACTTGGCATAAACTATCATAAATTCATACTCACTTGGCATATACTATCATAAATTCATACTCACTTGGCATAAACTATCATAAATTCATACTCACTTGGCATATACTATCATAAATTCATACTCACTTGGCATAAACTATCATAAATTCATACTCACTTGGCATAAACTATCATAAATTCATACTCACTTGGCATAAACTATCATAAATTCTTCTCACTTGGCATAAACTATCATAAATTCATACTCACTTGGCATAACCTATAATAAATTCATACTCACTTGGCAAAAACTATCATAAATTCATACTCACTTGGCATAAACTATCATAAATTCATACTCACTTGGCATAAACTATCATAAATTCATACTCACTTAGCATACGCCTTCTCCAACAACGCCGCCCAAAACTCAGAAGGATCGGTGGAATGGAGGTAGACGAGGCGGCCTTTGAAGGTGGGTAGCCGGTCATCGATAATCACCTCTACCCAGTCCCCGAAGTGCCAGAACCTAAACCTGAGGCAGCAACCAGAGTGAGTCATTTAGGGTAAGTTACTTAGAGTGAGTTATTTAGGGTGAGTTACTTAGAGTGAGTTATTTAGGGTGAGTTACTTAGAGTGAGTTACTTAGAGTGAGTTATTTAGGGTGAGTTACTTAGAGTGAGTTATTTAGGGTGAGTTACTTAGAGTGAGTTATTTAGGGTGCGTTATTTAGGCGTGAGTTACTTAAGGTGAGTTGAGAGAGAGAGAGAGAGAGAGAAGCCTGGGGAGAGGATGGACCATGGAAAGTTGGCACATCAAAGGGAGATTGGATCCTTTGTGAGGTGTGCCACGCGTGAGAGCACCAGAACCCATGCCAGCGACCACTACTCCAACACCCCAATTATGATAGAAACATTTCAGGTCAACGCTGGCTCTGACACCACTCAAGCGGGGTGGTGACGGTCAAGGAGAGTCGCCCGCAGTGTGTGTCGGTCTGGTGGTGGTGCCTCCCCCCTAAACCATCAGCCTCGCCTCAGCTGTCACCGTGCAGCCCATCTTTAGGTATACAGTATAATGTGGGATTTCTTTAATGAGTTAATGACCTGATACACGGGGTGGTGTTATGACTGACACACAGGGCGACGCACCACCAAATAGCAAATCAATGTTTATGACAGGCTTTGAATTACAGCAGAGAGAGAGAGAGAGAGAGAGAGAGAGAGAGAGAGAGAGAGAGAGAGAGAGAGAGAGAGAGAGAGAGATCATATTGATTCTGTTCAGTTGTCGGTACACTATGGCTCGACGTGTTAACTTACAGCCATTGTAGCCAGCCGTGAAGTCGTAACCAAACACCTTATAAGGAACCGAATATATCAGGTCATCAGGCTGTGTCAATAGAGTGGACATAAATATTAATCTGAGAATGTTTGCACTACAGAACACGATCTTGAGATACCTGTCTCCTTCAAGTAGTGATTCTTTGACAGAAAGAAGGAGATATATTATATAGCGTCTGTCTATAAAAAATATTTAGCGATATCCTCATCTACCGTCGTCTTCCCGTCAAAAAACAGGAGAAGACCGACGAGAAACTCACATAAATCATTATACTGCTTACATTCTACTCACCGAAACATTGATCATATAAACATAATATTTGAAACTTTTGTCTTTTAGTATTTGTAAAGTAAAATAAGAGAGCTCGGTGGTAGTAGGCGAGGCGAGAACAGACTGGGATCTTTACAAGTGACACAAGACGAACTATGCGAGTATAGTGTAACTGGATCACATATTCACACTCCTTCAACTTATTACCTGAAGATACCGCAGTAGGTGTGGTCGAAGGCCTGGTCAGGAGGCACCACTCTGTCGAGGAACTTGGGTGTGAGGGTGAGGGTGGAGACGGCCTGCACCAGCCATGTGTCGCCCAGTTCTCCCTGCTCCACATCAAACCTCGTCGCTCCGTCAGCGATGAATTTAGGTCTTGCACAGATCTCCTGCGGGAGGGACACAAGTGTAAGTCAGTGGGGAAGACAAGAGTGACACGAGAAGTTATTGTTGACTTTCAATAACAAATTAAGAGATATTCTCATTAAAATTTACACTGAGCAACTTCTGTATTTTCTAATTATGTTTAATGATTTCTTGCAGACAGTGTGGTGGTCAAGCAACTTTTACCCACAATACAATAGCCTAAGGTCCCAGTCTAAATGTACAGCGATATTTTTTGTACTTTATTTTCTACAGTGGAATGTCAGAGTTAGGATTTATGAGGCACGACATAACTTCTTGAGATACGCTTCTAAACGCCTTGATTGTTGAGGCACAGTAGTAATATTATAACGTCTACATCAATGACAGCAGCCGATAAATAGACGTGTGTAGAGGCAGATAATTATAATCTCTAGAGGTAAGTAAAACACTGGTCTTATCTATTGTTTCTTACGTAACGTTTCGACCCTTGGCCAGATTCACACATCATGTTAACAGCAAAGAGGAACACAGGTTTATATATCAAGTTCATCCTCCTGAGCGCCTTCACGTGAAACATAGATACATACATACATACATACATACATACACACATACATACATACATACATACATACATACATACATACATACATACATCTAGCTGCTCTGAGGTATGTGACCGACCGAACAGGTAATAACCTAATTATTAGTATTCAGGAGCTACTGGGTCACATCACCTCCCCTTGGCCGCATGCCAGTCCCCTGACAGATTGGTCGGCCATCACCAACCTCACCTCACACACCATTACAACAACCTCACCTCACACACCATTACAACAACCTCACCTCACACACCTCCAACATAACCCACCTCCATGATGACCCACCAGCAATATAACCCACCTCCAACATAACCCACCTCCAACATAAACCCACTTCTACGATGACCCACTTCCAAGACTTTGATCATTCACAGCATCAAACTCTTCACCTACATTAACACGACATCTCAGAATATTAATTAGCCACATCTTAAAACTCTTCCTCCTTATTGCCATAACTACGTATTTTCCTCCTTCATTATTTATCATTTATCAATTTTATCTTATTTTTTTCCTCATAAGGCAAAATATTCAACCGTGTGTCAGGGAAGGATTGTGAATGACCTTCGTACGTCACCTGCCAACACTTGTCGACTCCTTGATACTAATGATCACATCCATAAAGACTTCTCACAGCTCTATGTTCCCATCACCTGTGAGAATATCCAGTTATTTATGGATTAATCACAATATCTTTATAATATATACCAAAAAACAATCCTCATGTACATTTAGACATCCAACAGAACACCAGCGAAAATAATATATGCACAAAAAACAGCAATCGGTAAATCAAACACGATCCTAAGAATATCCCCTCATACGCCCTCAGGTGACTCATAACGTGTTGCCTAACCTCTCGTTTACGTGGTTGTGAAAGATGAATTCAGGCAATAACATCTGTCAGTCCATCCCACATGATATTTGAATACATGAGAGCATTTGTGTTCCAATGTGTGATTTTTCCTGGACTCCTTTCATGTTTCCCTCATGTATGATTCGTCTGCTTGTAAGAAAACGATATGAAAATGTATAGCCAAGAATCCCGATGAGTTTAAGTAGCTCGTGTATCGCTGTATCGCGTCTTGAGGGTCTGTTTTATGGGTCTTTTATATGAGATGTTGTATGGCGCTCTTTGGGTTTATTGGCATCTGTGGTCTGACTCTACGTTAATTATTTCCGGTGTAATGGCGCACTTTATTGTTGTTTATTGTCAGGCTTCTTGGACGACTTGGTATGTTGTTGTTGCTATTGTTACTGCTACTTTTGTTGAGGGTTTCTGTTTGTTATTATGGTTGTTGTTGTTGTTTTGGTTGCTATTGTTACTGCTATTTTTGCCCAGGGTCCACGGGTGTTGTTCTTGCTGCTGTTGTTACTAATGTTTTTGTTGAGGTTCCGTGCGTTTTTGTTCTTGTTACGATGTTGTTACTTGTTGATGTTCCGTAGATTGTTGTTATAATATTGTTACTGCTTCCTGTGTTGATGGTATGTTCCTTTGTGTGTTTTCTACTAAGGGGCACAGTCGATATTACTTTTTCTTCAAGAATGTATAACTGTTTTAGCTTTCATTCACATACGACGCCTCATATAATTCTGGTTGTAGAGTGTTGACCATAAAAAGCTTTGTTACCTCCCGTTGATAGCCGTAATTACTCTACTGCTGACAGTCTACCGCTAGTCTATAGTCTATAAGATTGTATTCCCACCGTTAAAGACTTCAAACACCTCTTTCCTCCATCTCCCTCTAGTGTCACTTACCCAGTTACATCTTTTCTTTCCCTTCCTCACTATATGCCTCGTCACTCGTCCCTCACCCCCCAACTGTGACCTCCGTAATGCTCCCCCATACAGCCCGCCCGCCTCCCTCCCTCTCTACACTTCTTCCCAGACGTGAACACCGCCACAGGTTCCGGTGACGCTCCTCCGTTACCCGGCAGGTGAGACTGACTCCCCGGACAGGTGTGCTCGTGGTGAGTGTTTTACCGTACACCGCCCTCCCTCTCCCCCTCCCCCTCCCCTACACTTGTAGAGCGTGAACCACCACCATGCTCACATCTCCCACGCCTCGTCACGATTCCTGCCCACGGTTAAGTCACTTTCCTGAGATACAACACCCCAGACTATACTGTAGAGCCCCTAACTTAACCACGTACCGTAGCTCTTGCCTAAACACCAGTTAGCGGTCTAGCAAGCAGCCAACACAAAGGGCATACTGTTCCTTACACACCGGAAGCGAAATCTATGTAACACGAGACAAAGAAACTATATAATACTCTTCTTGTTCCATAGTTCTGACCCCTGACCTCTGACCCCCTCCCCCCCCCATATTAACACACTGATGGTGATATAGGAATAGCTTACTTAGTCAGAAAAATACATATATAAAGTGAATCATAATAATATTGACATGACTGATCCAAGTGGGGGGCCTGAACCCTCCTAGTGACATGATGTTTGGAGATTTAAAGTGACTATGTCAACATTTTCGTAAGGTTTGAAACTTTAATCTACAAACATCTATTTGAGAGAGAGTTTCTGTTTAATGTGATCAAATATTATGTAACTATACTTAGCTTGATTCCCCGTCTCCAAGCTGCGTCTATCATCCTTGTTTTCTAATTTTGTGTTCGAGCCTTGTCTCCAAAGCGTGTCTCCAGCATTGTCTCCCAGGTGTGTGTCCCAGCCTATCATCCCAGTGTTGTCTCCCAGCCTAGTCTCCCAGGCATATCTCCAAGCCTTGTCTCTCATCTTTGTCTCTCAACCCTGTTTCCCCTAAAGGTCCTCTTGTACTGTATATACAAGAGCGGTGTTGTAGGTAGCTCACAGACAGCCAGGGGTGGTGGTGCCAGAAGGTCAGTCCACCACTCCTCGCCCCCTCTCACCAGGCCTGGATCACTGACATCGCACTCAAGGGGTTAAAGTCATCGTACTCAAGGGGTTAAAGTTATCGTACTCAAGGGTTAAAGTCATCGTACTCAAGGGGTTAAAGTCATCGTATTCAAGGGTTAAAGTCATCGTATTCAAGGGGTTAAAGTCATCGTATTCAAGGGGTTAAAGTCATCGTATTCAAGGGTTAAAGTCATCGTACTCAAGGGGTTAAAGTCATCGTATTCAAGGGGTTAAAGTCATCGCACTCAAGGGGTTAAAGTCATCGTACTCAAGGGGTTAAAGTTATCGTACTCAAGGGTTAAAGTCATCGTACTCAAGGGGTTAAAGTCATCGTATTCAAGGGTTAAAGTCATCGTATTCAAGGGGTTAAAGTCATCGTATTCAAGGGGTTAAAGTCATCGTATTCAAGGGTTAAAGTCATCGTACTCAAGGGGTTAAAGTCATCGTATTCAAGGGGTTAAAGTCATCGTATTCAAGGGTTAAAGTCATCGTACTCAAGGGGTTAAAGTCATCGTACTCAAGGGGTTAAAATCATCGTACTCAGGGGGTTAAGAAGGGAACTATGCAGCCACTGGGGGGTGTGACTAACTGTGGGTGAGGAGGTTAGGGTAGGTTAAGTTAGGTTAGGTTAGGTTAGGTTAAAAGGTAAAAATTGCAGAATTAATTATTGAGACACGTTCAGAGGGGACACAAGGGGTTATAGACTGGCTCCACTAATCGGAGTTTAATACAGCCGTTGTAATAGTAACCAGACGATAAGGAATGATCGTATCTACCTCAATCATCTTTAAAAATGTAAACATGAGAGAATTTTTCTTACTAATGAGCCAACAAACCTGATCACGACATTGAGTGGAGAAATTTATCTGATCTTTTTTTTACTCAAATTTTATGCAACACGAGTTAATGAGATTGAAGTTTACTGTGATGGAACTACATACATACATACATACATACATACATACATACATACATACATACATACGACCGTCCTACCCTAGTCCTCTTCCCTCATACCTCACCCTTGACCCTTGACCCCTGACCCCTCACACCTCAGATAGAGAGTAATGTTGACCACAGGTAAAAGTTGAAGAAAATGTCCCACTGACTTCATCTTTATGGAAGAACTGAGCCTCGGGGAAAGGGGGTGAGGAGAAGGGTGAGGAGGGTGAGGAGGAGGGTGATGGGGGAGGGTGATGGGGGAGGTGAGGAGGAGGAGGTAGAGATTTACTGAGGGAAAATGTGCAGACATAAAGAGAAATATGGTGACGAAGGAGAACATAGAGAGAGACTATTTGGAGGAGGGAAGAGGGAGAGGACAACAAATGGAGACATTGAGACGTAGAGAGAGAGAGTTACTGAGGAAAGTTTGTAGGCGGTAGCGGGAGAGAGAGAGGTACAAGGAGAGGGTGAGGAACAAAGGGTTAGAGATGAGAGGGAATAAAGAGGGGACAGGATAATAACGTGGTGTAGAAAGAGGGAAGAAACGAGATATATGGAATGGTATTGTAGGTGAGTATGGCAGTGTGTGT